AATTAAACCAACTCGTATTTATATAGTATTTATAAGAACGAAGTACCCTCGCTGCTGTAATATATCGAATTAATTTAGAGGGGAAAAATACGTTAATTATACGTATATAAACAAATATAAATAATAAAAATAATAAAAATAATAAAAAAGGATATACTAATAGTCGACCAAATTACCTTATAAAAAATTTCGCTATCTAGTCGCGTAGCCTTAATAGCTTTACTAAATAATTTAAAATTATTAATATTCTTATTTACTATTATTTAAATAAATAGGTATTATAAAACCTAATTAGTTTATAATTAGGGGAAGCAGTCTTTATTTACGTAATGTAGATTTAAATAAGCGAATTGGAATACCCTATTTTAATTGAATATATCGTACCTACTAAATTAATGACCTCCGAAATTATAAAATATAAGTCTGGTAGCTTCTAATCGGCTATTGCTATTATAAAGGGTACGATGGATAGTAGCCGCTAAGAACCCTCGGATAATATTATTAGAAATTAATTCTTTGAAGTTAAAAATTTGTTTAGTTTAATTTAGTAAATTTATATTATAATTATGAGGCTCGTTAGCAGTCGTCTTTATAACTACGCTAATTAATATATATATTACCGTATTATTAGTATGGTTAGTACGGTAATTATATTAAAAGATTATAACTCTTCTTAATAGATAATATTAAAGGTTATACGAAGTTTTATCGCGTAAACTTTGGAGTTCTTTACCCGTAATATATATCCTTTTTTTTTCTTATAACCGATAGCGTAAATATAGTTTCCTATAATTAGGGTACCAGTTGGTAAATTTATACTGATTAATTTAATAATATATATTATTCAAAAATATTTAATAGAAACAGTATTTGTCTACTATAAATTCGATTTTATTCTCTAATTTAACAAGCGCTTATTAGTATTAAGGTAGGTCTTTTAATAATATATATATAATTTAATTAGTAATGGGGGTGTAGTCAGCGGCGGAGTCGATAGCGGTAATAATAGTAGGTTTATTTTTTTATATTTTTTATATAGACGGCGTATTTAAAATAGGGGTAATATTTATTAGTTATAAAAGAACGTTAGTTATAGTAATTTGTATAAGGATTATTTATATAAGATTTATTACCTTCTAATGCGTTTTTAAAGGCGGTATTATTACTGGGCGCGAATAAATCCTCCTTATTTACTTCTGTTTCCTGCGGTGCCCTGACTGGCCTATAATGATAGCACCAGTACAAGGTTGCTACAGTGAACTATGCACTTGTAGCAGAGCGGAGCGGAAGCGGTAGGAAGTACGACAGCAATGCTGAAGGAAGCAGCGTAGTTGCAAGTACAATAAAAGGATGTTGTAAAAGAGGTCTTAGAGAGGACTCTGCTCTCAAGACAGAAGATTACAGTGGACTCTGCACTGTGAGAAAAGACTATATTGTATTGCTTGACTTGTGCTTGCTTGCTTAAGGAGTGACGAACTGAAGGAGAGGAGAGGTCTCTATATACATGGACACTAAGCATCTAGAAGCTTCTGTTGAATCCTGTGATGACAAATCAGTCTGGAAGAAATGCTAGCTAAGTTATAAGACTCTAGAATACAGTGGCAAAACCTCTTGTATTCTAGTACATTCTGTGGGGACTGAGTCAACTGATTCCGTAGAAGGAATAGTTCAACTAGCCTTCTATACTACAAGGTAGTACAAGGCAGTTACAAGGCACAGTACTAGCCACACGTTAACAACTTCTATAGTTTAAGGAAGCGCGCCGGGTATAAGTTAATTAAATAATAATTCGTTAATATTGAAATTGCGAAACTATTAGGGATCGTTAATATCCTATTCGGGTTCGTATTCGAGAAGCTCTTAAAATTCTTATCAATTTATAACGACGACGGCGAACTTTAAAGAAAGGTAATAATAATAATATTAACGCAATTAATAGAAGGTAATTATATAGGGAGAAATAAAAAAGTAAATAAGAGAAACGCGGGTAGGGAAAAATATTAATATATAAATTATTTTATTTATTTTTTAGGAAGTAACTGTATTAACGGTAAGATTAGTACGTGCTTACTACCATAATATACTAAATTTCGTACCATATTGGTAACTTTCTTAAAATACTAGTAATTTCGTTGCAAATAAGGGGAATCGCATTGTTTGAATGCCCTCTATTCATTACCAAAGTTGTACGAAAGTATACGAAAGAATAGTGGTATAGTTGTATTATGTCGTAAACCGCGCGCATGTTCTGGTAGTGCATCTGGTTTTGGCCCGCACGGCTAATAAATCTTATATCACATGAATATTTACGATATTTTTTCTGGATGGGAGGAGGTGACTGGGGGTGTAGTACGTACTGTTTTCCAAGTCGGATACGCAAAGCCGATATTTTACGTGGCCGGGATGAATAATGAGAAGACCTGTTTACGCTCCGCCATCTCTTATATAGGTGGTATCTTCAGAGCAACCTTACCCGGCACTTCCCAGGTTGTAGGCTTCTTCCTGTACGGTTGTAAGTAATCGTGAAACGTCAACCTTGGGACGAGAAGCCCATTCGCTTGAAGCCATAGTGGGAGGTGAGCAGATGACCCAATCGACTGCGGGGACTGCAATCTTAATATGAACCGAGCAGCATTAGTTGAATGCAGAACCGTTCAAGACACGAGGACCGAGCACTTGGCTTACTGGTAGAAACAGGATAGACAAGCCATGTCGAGATCGCGATACCACCAACTCCAGACAGACATTAATGGGCTTGTTGGCCTTCTATCCCACCCCCACTTGGCACTTGCGTGCTCAACGACCCTCATGTCTCCCAAAAGGGGAACTTGCCCATATGGTTGGGTATGATCGTGCAAACCGCATGGTAGTGATGGCCCCTTGTCAATGTCGATGCCGTGGGCCCAAGCGTCAAAGCACCCATAGCTTTGCGGCTCTTACTTCATGCAAGCTGGTTATGGCATGAGCTCTGGGCTACTGTACCATGGTATAAAGGTATGGCGACCTTGATCTCGTGTCCCCGGGACGGGTACTGTGTAGCACTGTAGCGCAGTCCCAAGATCTGCCGGCTCGTGACTGTGGACTTGTCGGTGGACTTGTCGTGAGCGGGGAGATTTGGCGTTGTTGGGTGCATGACGCGCCAAGTTGCCTAGAGATGACTGGTGAAACTTCACCGGACGTCGACACTTTTCCTCCAAGGTGGACGCCGAATGTGATCGGACACGATGCCTGAAGTGCCTCGGTAGGTTGGGGATGGAAGTTGACAGTACCTATTGGAGATGGGTAGCGTTTCCTGAATGGTCTCACGATTCCTGATTGGGAACGGAACCTGATGGTGGTGTTGCAAGGTGCGTGTAGACGGTCATTGTCAGATAAGTACCGTGGTCGAGAAGCTGAGGATATGTTGCTGCTGTGTCAGGTCGCTCAATCGTAAAAGAAATTGCGACTGGAGAAACTGTTGTGGCCGAGAGAAAATGGAGGTAAAGTAGACGAAAAGACGACCTCGAATAGTTAAGCGTCCAGAGTTGCGATGTCCGGTAATTGAAAGGAGCGAAAGTTGAAAGATTGCTTCAGCAGCGAGGTCACGGTGCTGTGAAGCTGGGACGCACGGGCCATTATTCCCCACCGGAACAGACAAACGTCAAAAAGCGGGGTTTGTCTTGGGCACTGATCAGTGCTTGCCGCGCCTGCCTTCATCGTAGTCAGGACAAAAAGGAAAGAACACAAAAGGATGATGCTTCCTCGATTGCACGACCCTCAAGCGCACCACTGGTGAAAGAGAGTAATTGATGCTCGACATTAGCCCGGGAAACGAAACACCCGTCGGTTGACCTCGAACGAAAGCACAGAGCATAGAAGTTCAACTTCCCCTGGAGCCCCACTTAGCAAGCGTGAAGCGTTCTTTCCTCCTTCAATCTCTCATCTCCTGTCTAAATGGCCTGATGGCAATTACGAGTCTAGTCCAGGCATCAAGACATGAACTTGAACAGAGGTACTGCGGAAGGTGGGATTGTCCATCAAGACTTTCATTTCCCACCGTCCTTTCGGACACTCGGTCGACGTCGACATCCTCTGTTGGCCCCGTTTAATGGCGCGCAATAATTTCGACACCACCTGACATCCTCATACCCAACAGAACCCCGAAAATGCTGCGGTGGCCTTGATGACGACAAGCTCTTTCCAGGCCGTGCCTACCTAGGTAGCTGGAACCGGACAAACTCCGGGCTTCATAATCACACATTGATGGCACCACCGGCGACCCAAAGCAGGGACACAATCAAGGCACCATTAGCCAGACACCGGATGCGGAAAGGGTTTCATGATGCGAATACGCTAGGCTGGCAGCTTTCTTGCTTTACTCGGGCTTAAATTCCTTGCTATTAGCGATGGGGCCATACGGGTCTCTTACCAACATCGGCATTGCTTGATATGGCAAAGGTAAGTAAGCACCACTGAGTAGATCTGGACTAGTTGACTACCTACTGTACGACATACCTCTTATAGCACGACTTAGTATTACCAGGAACGGCTGTTCACGGTAGTTGGATTCAAACAAACAGGGGTCAAGAAACGTTGAAATCCAAGTCCCTCAAACCACTTTTGCGTGCTGCCCTGTCTGGAATTCCATGTTATACGAACCTAACTAGGTGGTTTTGACTGGCAGGTCGCACGGAATTAGTGGGAGACATGGTTGAGGTAACCGTTCAGTTTGGTAACTTGAAATGTGCAAAGGGATACTTGTTGGTCTTGTTTTGAGTACCTCTACGTTGCAAAATTTGGGCGTTAGAAACCTTTCTATGCAAATACTAAACTAATAGAACTCTAATACCAAAGTTATTCTGTAAAGAGCGGGCTCCCTGGGGAGACTAGTATCCCAATTTTGAAAGAGAAATGCACGTGTTTTGGCCAAAATATGTGGAAGTGTCTTGGAAAAGGTTGGTGGGGGCGTGTAGGAAAAAGGGTGGGTGCACGTATTAAGGTAGGCTTCCTTCTTGAGCAGTCCGGAAGTTAACAACAGCTTTCAAGCGCAATTGCGATGGAACGAAGGAATCTTGGATCAAAACAAAGAAAACAGTACATGTACGAGCTCATCAAAAAGCATTAACAACCGTTTTGTGGCGACAGTCCACTTGTTTCCTGAATCCTGAAGGGCGCCCTTTTCATCTGTTTCCCATCATGTCATTACTCGCATCCAGCTCATCTCCGGCGTTTGTGTCCTCCAACTCTACCTCTAGACAACCCCAACTCCTTTAGGTGCAGGCAGTGCACGAGCGGCACTGGATGTAATGAGCCTGGTGACCAGCATCAATGCCATTGATGGAGTTGTACAAGTTGGAGTCGCCGGGGTTATACAAGATAGCAACGCCGTGGCCAGTGCAGTCTCCGTTGCTAAAAAAAAAAGTCAAGGCGTTCAGTTAGCATTCAATCTGTGTGTCGTTTTACGTCTGTGTGGGAAGAGGACTGGAACAGGAACAGCAAGCACGTACGTAAAGAGGCGGCAGATGGCGCCCGGGTCGGGGCCAGCAGAGCCAATGTGTCCATCATAGGTGGAGGGAAGTCTGGTACAGGCTCCGTCGATACCGAGAGTCAGGACCTCGCAGGTGTTGCTCCAGTTGGAACCGGTGCAGACGAAGACCTATGGTACGATTTGGTGAGCTTCATAACTTGGGATATGAATCTACCTAGTAAGGAAGGTCAGGGGACTAACATTGCCGGGAGTGCCGAGGACGGGAGAGAGGAGGGAGAAGAGGGAGATGCTGATGGCGAGAATGGACTGCATTGTGGCGGTTGTTGGCGGTTTTGCTTGAAACGTTGAAAGCCAAGGAACAGATGTTGGGAGTTGAGGAGATGAGTGGATGATGTTGTGATGAGTGAGATGCCTTGATGAAGCGGACTGTCCTGATCTTTATACTCGGAGACACAGGTCAATCCGCCCAACATCACCAAGTCATTGCCGGCAAAACATACCATCTACACGAAGCATACCTCTACACATCAACCATACTACTGGGCGATACTTTTTAATTGTTGCTGACCAACTACCTGGACCTACCGCTACTTACACGGCAGTAACCTGAAGTACCTCTAGGGGCTGACTCATGCTGCCATCTGTGGATGCAGGGTGCTTACTAGGGCCAAAACAGGAGAGTCGATGGGCGGCAGCTCATGAACGGCCGACCCAGGGCAGCACTTCAGCGATGCCAACATCCACTTTCCCGGGGCATGGACTCTCACAATAGGTATCTAGCTAGAGGGGACGCTGTTGGTGTTTAAAGGGGAAATCGAAATGTCACGTAAAATAAGGCAACTAGAACAAATCACCAGACATTTGGAACCTATCACGAACCGACATAGAGAAGGTTCACTTACCTGCATGCCTCACAACATCACAGTCTTGATCAACCGACACTCATATTCATTTTCCCAAGATGACAGGACACATAGAAGGCCGATCCTCACCCAAACAACAACCTCCCAATCCGCCCTCTTACCCCTCCCCAAAACCCACCATCACTACTCTCCATGTCCTGCACCCTTCTAACCCTCTCACCCCCCCTCTGCCCAAGCACCTCTTCCTCACTAAACCAGGTCCCATGAAATCCATACGGTACCCTCTGTGGCAGTCGTATCCTTGCCACAACTTCCCTCATCCCCTTGGCGTCGATGATCCATAAATCACTCTTCGCCCCCTCACTGCACTCTCCAGATTCTTCATCGATCTGGGACTCGTCGAATACGTACGTGAGTAGCCACCCATCATCTTCCGCTACGCCGTTTTTCCGGGGCACGAAGCGAGCTTCTTGGGCGTAGTGGTTTGGTGGGAAGGTGAAGACTTTTATGGGGTCGTCCTCTGCTAATGATGGGGAGGAAGAAGAGAAGGTGAGGATGTCTGAAACGGAGCGGGTGTCTACGCAGCCTTTTATCGGCTCCGGAGGGGAAGGATTGTCGGGCGCGGCTCCGCGGGCGATCAACGTTGAGACGTCTATCTTGGCCAGGGCATCGATCTTGACGGATTTGCCTAGGGCGCTGGTGTAGGAGGCCGAAGGGGAGGTGGTGGTGCACCCATAGATATAGCGGGTTTGGGTCATGGTATGGGCAGGGGAGAGGGTAGGGAATTCAAATGGGATGGCAGAGAGTGCGAATTGGTGGAGGATACGTTGATTTCGTGGTGTGAGAGAGAAGGAGTAGTAGTATAATCTACACTGCTCTTCCTCATGGTATTCGGGGGGTATCGGTGTCTTTGACACGGGCGTGGGCAGGTTACCGGTGTTGAAGATCAGGGACGCAGAAGTCATACGGCAGACGAGGAGATTAACAGTGGTTGCGAGACGCTCGCCTTTGCAGGCATTCAAGTCTTCTTCTTTGCTGATGGTATCCCAGCAGTTTGCGGCGTGGAAGATACAACACGCGTTGGTCTCGAACCATTGTACTCTCTCCGGGTGGTACCTTGGGAAGATGCCAAAGCGGGCTTTCCCAGCCCTATTATACGAGAGAATGGCTTTGCCTTTGAAGAGGTTGAGCGGATTCAGGGAAAGCGGCATGTCCATGATGACAGTGTGGCGCCTTGATACGCCAAAGTCATGCATCATCTTGGGGCAAGCCATGCCCGGGACGGGGACACTCATGAGCCGCGGTGAAGTTGAAACCCCATAGGGCTGAATGATCGAGTAACTGACATATGGCTTGACCGAGAAGGAGTGGAAAGCGATCAACTCTCCCGTTTCCGGGTCAACTCGGGGATGTGCCGTCATCCATTCTCTCATGAATGAGAGCATGCCCTTTCCACCAAACCCTGCGGCACCCGCTCCATCAATCTTCTCATAGTCACCAGAGGGCTCGTTGTCGGTCGTCCCGTTGAACCACCCGACCGTCTCCAGACTGGGCAAAATAAACCGAAGAGGCGGGCCGCTTTCGCAAGTTGCCAAGGCTCTCCCATCATGATACAGGACCGACGTGTTGGCGACACTGATTCTCTTGACTTTGGTTTTCGACCATCCAGGCAGCCACGAGAAAATCACCATGGCTACCGTCCTCAAAACTTTCGACAGCACCCTCACAGCGGACGTACACGGGTCAAGCAGTGCAGAAATGCTCGGCATAAACGGGCGCCTCATCCAATGGTGATTTGCTCGCGCAAACCGGTACACGTCTGTGAGTAGGTACTGGTTGACGAACTCGGGCTGGATGATTGTGTCTGTCTCATCCCCGTCCCCTCCTTCATCTGTTGCTGCCACTCGGCGAAATAGTACGCCACTTAGCATGCCGTCGCCGTCGAACCAGTGAGATTCGCGGGCTGACTCGTCGTTGTTGATAACTGGGTTACCTCCATTTCGGACGTATTGACCACCTGCGAGGTCGATGGGAATGCTTCCTTTGTATGAACACGGAGTTAGGGGAAAGCATGTTTGCACGGGCGCAAAGTTGCCGGAGAGGTAGGGATGTTTGGATGGAGAAGGTGTATCGAGGAGAGGATTTGAGTCGAGCATAGCCACGGGCAGTATTGCTTGGTGAGAGTTGAGTTGCGCGTAGAGTAGTGCGCTACATGTCGCAAGATGAGAGATGGATGAGGGTGTGAGAGTTGCCATTGCTGCCCTATTTCCCATCTTGGTGTTTGGTAAATCCTGAGATGATGTCAGAACGAGGTCAGAGGTTGGAGGAGGTCAAGGCGGATGCAAGGTGAAGGAGTTCTTTCTCTCCCCAACATCTCTCATCTTTTTTCTTCCTCGAGTCCTCAAGGGCGTTCGAACACAGAACATCCATTGTCCGGTCCATGTCTAGGATGCAAGTGAGCCACTCGCATCTCGATGTCAATGACTGAATGTTGGAGGAAAGAACAACCGCGTAGAGAGGCTGCCATATTCAGAAGGAGGGTTGATTCTGAAAACTTCCTGATCGCGCCTGCCCTCCAATCCTGTGGTGGCTCAATGTCGTTCGTTTCCATTCCTTCCGCAATCTGTCGAGAGCTCCTTCTCGGACATGGACGCCCCTTCCATATCGCCGACGACGCTCGCCGCCGGTAGTTTATCGGTCGAGAGTAACTTCAGTTTTGATGGCACTCATTCCAGTCGGCATACCCAAGGGGAAGCACACCGTCTTTTCCCGTCCGTCCTCCGAAACATCGCGGCGGCTGACTTCCGCCATGAGGCCGTTCAAGATATCTTCCACCGCCTCGCGATAGAGTGTTCCGTGGCGTCGCATCATTTGCTGAGAGTCCTTGGGTCGAGCGGCGTCGGTCACCTCGCCGGTGGAATTTCGGTGTGCGTTCTTCACATGCAGTAAGTGCAGCAAGAGTCAAGACCCTTGAATCTGACGAAACTGACGAATCCACTTAGGCGTGCTCGCGGAAGCATCAAAAGTTCCAATGCGGCTCCCCTTCTTTTATCTCATTGGCGTCCGCTGCCATAGCGTCAGCGCTACCACAAAAAGCAAAAAGCGCCGGGTTGGCCAGACTCGGTCGTTTGTCGTTTGTCGCATCTTTCAAAATTCGGACCTCAGCCGCCCAGCCCGTTTCAGCTTCAGTTTGCCAACGCCGCTTTCCACTTGCTCATTTCTCGGCCAAGGGGGCTCACACAGGCCTCTCTCTCCCTGTAAGAGATTCAGAGTTCGAGTCTTTGGAGCGGAACGGTCGTTGGTCAATCAAACATCGGTCGCTAAAAACCTCAACACCACCATCTGTTTTACGTTTGTGATGAGAGATGTTGAAACGGCACTGAGAACCACCGCTGGCCCTGAAGAGTTTGATCAATTATCAAGCAAATCACTTAAGCATCAAAGATATGCTTTTTGACTTCCCCTTCCCGTTTGAGGCGGTCTGACGACGCCCGGTGGATCCAAGTTTGTTGCTTGACCGTCAAATTCGGTCGCTTCAGCTGTGCAGGTGGCTGGACGCATGGTCCCTGTTGACATCTTTATACTTTTGGAATGTGCTCCGGTATCTCCGATATCGGTATGCACCAGCCTTGCAAGCGGATCGCTAGTAGATTCGCTACGCCTACCATATGAAGCTATTGCCAATATCACCTAACCGATTTCACTTAAATATCCTCAGCCCTAGAAGCAGGGACACCATGCCAAGATGCAGTCCGCAGAATCTAGACCAGGAACCATTACCAACGGAGCTTGACGCTCCATTGCCCCACTTCTTTGTTTGTTCTTTGAAGAGGAAGGTCACCCTCGCGACGGAGAAGCGCCGAGGAGCCTCTCCGTTTATAAGCACAGTCCTTACCTCTCATCTTATCTTCTCTTCCTTCGTTAGGACCTAGGGCCACGGTATCAAAGATGAGATACTCGTTCTCCGTTCTGACAGCAACAGCGCTGGCGCTGCTGCCCTTTGCGCAAGCAGCGAAGGAGGTCTTTGCTCACTTTATTGTAAGTTCCACCCTTCCCCTTGAGAAACAAGGAATCCTCACTCACACATGCTTTCAGGTGGGAAATGCTCCTAATTATGACATGTCCGACTGGCAGGATGACATCCGTCTTGCACAGGACGCCTCCATCGACGGCTTCGTTCTCAACATTGCTTCACAGGACGCAAGCAACGACAACTCTCTGGCCAATGCCTTCCGAGCTGCCAATGCCGCCAACTTCAAGCTGTTCTTCTCTTTCGACTATAGCTCCCAAGCTCCTTGGTCCAAAGACGCCGTAACTGCCCTAATCAATCGCTGGGCGAATGAGCGCTCGTACTTCAAGCCTGACAACACCTACCGACCTCTAGTTTCCACCTTCGAGGGGCCTGATCATGCGGAAGACTGGCACGATATCAAGGGTAAGACCAACTGCCTTTTTATACCAGACTGGTCTTCCCTTGGCGCTGCAAACGCAGCCACAACGGCGGGTAGTGTTGCGGATGGACTATTCAGCTTCGATGCTTGGCCTAAGGGGCCTTCTGCCATGACCACGGAAGTGGATGAGCAGTATCGGACTGCGTTGAATGGCCGTCCTTATATTATGCCGGTCGCCGGGTGGTTCTACACCAACCTTCCCGGCTGGAACAAGAACTGGCTCTGGAAGGGAGATGAGCTCTGGGATACGCGCTGGCAGCAGGTAATCGACTTCCAGCCCGACTTCGTGGAGATTCTCACCTGGAACGACTACGGCGAGTCGCACTATATCGGCCCAGTCCGTGAGAAGTCGCTTGGGCTGTTCCAGAGTGGAAACGCACCGCTCAACTATGCCGAAAATATGCCGCATGACGGGTGGAGGAAGTTGTTGCCCTATTATATCCAGCAGTACAAGCAAGGCGGCAAGGTCCAGCCGACCACGCCGACCACCACCACCATCATTGCCCCCACCGCCACTGCCATCACCACCGTTATCAGAACCCTCACCACGATTGTCACCGCGCCAGCTTCATCGCAGACCTTGGTCGTCGCTTTCAAAGCAGCGAAGGTGGTGGTGGCGCAGGAAAACCTCGTCGTGAAAGAAGAGGCTGTAGTAGCCTACTACCGAACCAACCCAGCGAAGGCTTGCAACAACGGCGGCACGACCGGAAACGATCCGAATTACCAGCAGGTCTATCCGCCAGAAGACCTCCTGCAGGATAACATCTTCTTCACCGCTTTGTTGGCGGAGCCGGCCGACATCAGTGTTTCTATCGGTGGGAAGGACCTGAACGCCATGTTCTCAAAAAAGATGCCGCAGGTCGGCGGGGCAGGAATCTATTCGGGCAAGGTGCTGTTCACCAACAGCACGGGGGATGTGGTGGTGTCGGTGTCGAGAACCCTGGAAGACGGGACGACGCTGCTAATCGCGCAGGCTAAGGGAGGACCGTCTATCACGACGGAATGTGTGGACGGGATGGTGAATTGGAACCCGGCGGTTATCAGTTCATGATGATGGGAGAGCCCACGGATGCCGATGGCGTCGATGTTATGAGTAATGATCATGAATGAAAATGAATGTCTGATGAAATCGCCCTCAGGTTCCTCGTATTTTTTTTGTCGTGTGGCGGTGAAGAGATGAGGTCGACGGCCGGCAACTGTCGTCAAGGCGGGCGGCTGTCAAAGGGCTTTCTTTGTCACCTTTTTCTTGGTGCTCTCATTGTCTGATACCTTCTTGTTGGCCTCGATACCAGAGAAAACATGACCTGTCGTCGGCGCCTGAGTGGGTGGATATGGCGATCATGGCGGGAGTTGGAGTGTTGGGGTTTTGACGATCATTCTTCCTTGTCCGAGACCTTAACGTCATGAAACATCAGGAAGAGAAATGATTGGCCAATATGTGGACTCCAGCCAATCAAGGTCCATCCCAATGAACCCCCGCATCTGTCAACGCCATGCGAGAATAGAGTTCAGCGGCCCGGACGAAGAGGTCCAGAAGCCCTGACCCCTACCTGATTCGCTAACTCGGTGCGTGTTAGTGCTCGTTACAGTGGGAGAAGGGTCCAAGGGCACGGACTCTATCCACATCGATCTTCGGGAATATCTTCACCTGAGATGACCTTCAACTCACTGAGCATCAGCATCATCACTAGCAGCGAAAACCCCAATCAAACCTGATACATACCGAGATGCGTATACTATCGGCTGGCCACATCCGAACAATTAAGTCGTTCGTACAATCCAGCGCAAATCACCCCTTTTCTCCCCACTTTTATGACGTCTGAGGTTGAGCTGATCAACAACTCTCGACCGTATGGCATGCTATTTTTCGTTCAACATGGCAAACCGTTATGCGGTTCTTCGTTATCGACCCGACGTTCAAGCGGGTAATATCGTCTTCGGCCGCGGGTGAACGCGCAAGCAAGGCTTGGAAACGTCCAAGACATGTGCCTCCTTTGTGACGCAAGGTTTGATGAGCATCGAGATCGCTTGATCTTCGGCTGTGGTGTTTACCAAGAACTGCTATAACGGTGATGTTGTCATGTTCAATAGGTCTTTTAGCAAGCTCTTATAAACCAGATTGATCGCGTTCTGAAAGTAGCTAACCCTCCAGCATTCTGTTCCTGTGAGCGATACTGAACTCGAAATATCTGCAAGCGATCACAACCACCACATACACTCGCCAAACATGAACCCTTCAACAACAATAACAGCCCGCCTTCTCACCAGGTAGCGTCTTATCGGTACACTTAACATTAACAATGGCCGTTTCGTACAACGAACATGCTCTCCGCTTCTCAGAACCGGCAGCATCAGTGCCACGCGAACAATAATAACCGCTTCCAAGCTAGAGGCACAACCAACAGTGGCCAAGCCACCGCCACCAGCACCCAAAGATAACGAGACCAAGCCTCAAAACGAGAACAGTGGTTTCAAGCGTTTCTCCCAGTTCGGCCTAACCGGTAAGGTCTTTATCGTCACAGGGGGTGCTCAAGGTCTGGGCCTTGAGATGACAGAAGCACTTGCCGAAGCTGGTGCCAAAGGTAAGCCCTCATAACAACCTCCTTCTTCACCATCAGAGCTTTCCCTTTTCTAACCTGGGCTTCAAAACAAAAAGTCTACTGCCTCGACCGCGCCGAACAACCCGACCCAGCCACCTGGTCTTCAGCCCTCAAGCGCGTCCCCACCTCCCACGGCGGCTCCCTCCACTACCGCGAGCAAGACGTCCAAGACACTTCACACCTCGACAAGCTCATCGCCTCCATCGCCACCGAAAACAACCGACTGGACGGCGTCGTCGCCACCGCCGGCGTCCAACAGCTCACGCCCGCCATGGAATATAAACCCCACGACGTCGCCCGCATGCTAGCCATCAACTACACCGGCGTCTTCATGACGGCCTCCTCCGCCGCCCGACAAATGTACAAACTCAAAACCTCCGGCTCCATCGTTTTGATTGCCAGCATGTCCGGGCTGGTCGCCAATTAAGGATTGATCAGCCCCGTGTACAACAGCAGTAAAGCCGCGGTGATCCAGTTGGCGAGGAACTTGGCGATGGAGTGGTCCCGTAAACAGGAGGATGGGACGGGAGGGATCAGGGTGAACTGTATTAGTCCGGGACATATACTGACGCCGATGGTGAGGAAGAACTTTGAGGAGGTTCCCGGACTGAGGGAGAAGTGGGAGGCGGAGAATATGATGGGGAGGTTGGCGGAGACGAAGGAGTTTAGAGGGGCGGTGCAGTTTTTGGCGAGCGAGGCGAGTAGTTTTATGACGGGAGGGAATTTGGTTATTGATGGGGGGCATACTGCTTGGTAAGGTGTCATATTAACTAATCCCGCCGTTTTCTTCACAGCCTCGTACCCGATTTCACCGAAGAGGCGTACAACTTTGGAGTCCCTGGCGCTATCTACGACATGACCGTGTTCGGCGGGACCTGCAGTTTCTATGCGACTAACCATGGGGCATCGGAGGGGCAGGAGGTCGGATACCTCGTGTGCGATAAGTATTATGAAGCCGTTTGCACGTTCGGAAAGGCGGTTACCTGCAACACCAAGTTACTCGCTACATTGGTGATGAGGGAGATTGCGTATTGTGTTTGGCCTTGATCTTTGTCTTTGGGGGAAAAGGATGTAAATCTTGATTCTCAGCAGTCTGGATATACAAAGGCGAGTATGAGAAGAGAACTCTCCGTCACCCCCAATTTTTTCCTCTCTTGCCATCGATATTCAATACTTACATCGGCTAGATTCCTACCTACCACTACATACCCCAGTCACCCAGGTAAATCGCCACCCTGACAAACTCGGTACCAACACTCATCCATAAGGTACCCATAAATACCTGCTTACAGCCCAGGAGCCCTGATGTGCACGGCCATCTGTACGCCAGCTTGGACGTTGAGGCGCTGACCTTCTACATAATTGTTCTTGGTGCAAGTGTCCATGATGAGACCGGCAGTCTGGGCAACTGCTTGGCTATAGAAGTAAAAGGCGTGTCAGTTGATTTCTTGCACATGTGCATAAGAGAAAACGGACTCACCAAGTACTCTGCTGAGTGTGACTGCTCACCCCGGAAACGCCCGTGATCTGGGCCCTTCCATGGACGCACATAGCAGTGGCAGTTCCAACGACACATTGGGTAGAGCCTTTGCCGGCGAGGTAATTGATGCACCACACGGCGTCGGGAGCCTTGAGAACGGAAGCATCCAGGTCTGTTAGCTTCTGGCTCGCTGTGTTGGTATGGGTTTCCGGGGGGGAGAACTCACATATGCCGGACCGGGCTCATAGGTGTCGCATGACACTTCGGGATCCCATCGCTTTTGGGCGCCACCATTGGCAGCAACGGGGACGGAAGTAAAATTGGCAGTGTCGAGGTAGGCCTGCCACGCCTCCTCCGGCCCGAGGGCAGTCTCCGGGTTGGCGATCACGTCGTCGACCCACTTGGCGAAGGAGAAGACGGGTTCGGTGGTGGCCGCGGGAGCCGCGGTGACGAGAGTGAGGAGGCTCATGGCCGCGAGGGAGACGAGGGCGAGGTGGACCATTTTTGCTTCTTTCTTTGGGATCAAAGGGTGGTGTGACCTAGGAACTCGGTTTGGAGGGAGTGATGATTGTTTGGCTTGGACAAGATCGCAACACTCGTCGGTCGTCCCAACCTTTTATACATCTATCCAGTCCATGATCGGTCTTCCGCGACCTCCTCGGTTCGTTCCTTCTCGCCGTATTCCTTTCATTGCTACCTCCCCCTCATCAAACTGTTGCAATGCATTCTGACAACCTCTTGCAATGCATTCTGACAACCTCAGCACTACCTAAGGTAGTCAACCGTTGGTCATGCGTATAGCAAAAAAAACCATGGCAACTTGAGTTGACCAAAAGACGTCCAGCCAGCAGCCTAGAGAGAATGGCTACTCTAAGGTCTCACCGGTCTCATCGGTCCCAATATTTCTCAGCCTCCTACCTTTCGTTGCTACCTTACCCTCTCATAAGACTCGTACAACATGAGTGATTGCTACCTCTAGGGGTAATAATCTCGGCACTAGTAGCAAGTTCGAAAGCGTCCAGGCAAAAGCCCAACGAGACTGACAGGCTACTCTGGTCTAGGACTGCGTTCGTTCTCGTACGGTTATCGTAGGGCGCTTGGAATAACTCAACTTACTCAACTGAATTCGAGACCCCAAAGGCGAGTTACAACTCAACTCGGGGCAGTTCGCGGGTTGGCCGCCTTTTTTGAGTGTAAAACCGGTCATATGAGGCCCTTAATAGGTACGAAAACGGTACCAGAACGAACGCAGTCTAGAGTCCCATTGTAGGTAGTTCCATTGATCCTTCTTCTATGTCGGCCAAGGAATTTTTGCTTTTGTTGGATGGTAGAGGGCCTTGATGGGGCAGGAATGATTGCGCCAAACTTCTTCTAATCCTTCACACCAGCCTCATCGTGAACAGTGTCGTCCAGGGTTCAACTTAAGCCGGGCCGGGCCGTACATATGGAAGCTATGCCAAGCTAAGCCCGTGCTATGGCCGTGAAGATTCCATTACACAGTCCAAAGCCTAGACTGCATAGGCAAAATGGAGGTCAGCCGAGTCAAGCATACAACGCGACTGCATACACTACCTCTAGGGAAAATGGAGGTCAGCCGCGTCAAGCATACAACGCGACTGCATAGGCAAAATGGAGGTAAGCTGAGTCAAGCTTACAACGCGACGCTCATATACTACATCGTAAAAAGAAGCGAAGAATTCAATCAAAATGTGCCCCCCCAGCAGATATTGACACGACGTAACTGAGGTAGTATTTCCGCTTTAGGAAGGCAAGTCAAATCCAGTGTCCAGGCGGCCGAACCCAGGTTGGACCCTTGGGGGACACTATGGTGTAGTATCCGCATGCACGGGTTTTCGGCGTCATGGACCGACCTGCACACTAGTAAAAGATAGTATGTTTTGACCACGGTGAGCAGACACTTCTTCTTCTATTATCTCCTTTTGATCTTTTGCAGTAGCGAAATCGTAGGAGCTGCGGTCATGGTACTTCCCCAGGTTGAGGAGCGCTGAACTGGAGATGTATGCGGAGGGCGTGCTGGATTGGAAGACAAATGGATGAAAAGCTGTCTTGATGTAAGGATTTGAACTAGCGAGAATGGTATCCTGAGACTACAGTACCTTATCTTTTATCTTACCGTCGTTACCTTCCATATTTACAAGCACCAAAGACGCACACAAGGAATAACGTTACAGCCCCTAATCTATGACCCTTTATTTGTAGCCCCGTCAACTGGCTAAGGTGATAATTTGCTACCTAGGGGTAATCACGTATAGTACTTGTTTGGAACATTGATCCGGCATTCATAAATCAATTCATTCTAACGCTGATCTAGATCAAGTTGACCTTCTCTTTCAACAAGTGCGTATCCAAGCCAACAACGATCACCAAGAGAGATGACGAGAGGCCTGCTCTACGCCCAAGTCTACCAAGCCAAATCACCTTACACGAACTCTAAAAACACAAAACAAAAAGAGATCCGTTCGAAATCAAGACAACTGCCTCACTTGAGACACCGGACATCAAGCCAAACCCCTCAAAACTCCGGCTCCGAATCGGTCTCTCCACCCTCCTCATCCGGGCTCTCAGAAATCGCTCTAAGTCCTCTTCCACTCCCCCTCGTCTTCCCCGGCCGATGATACGTCACATCATCAATCGCTTCCCACCTACCTGTAGCCACCCTCATCTCCGCCAGATAAAACGGTCCATGCACTTTAATAGGGAAATTCCTAACCATGGGCGTCAAGCACTTCTCCAGCGGTCCATGCATAGTAAACGGCTGCGCCCTAGCCTTTGTCATGGCGTTTTCCTTCATGTCGTGCATGAACTTCTGGACGCGCGCGTCATTGGACTCATTCAGTCCCGTCATCAACATAAACCCCGTCAACGACGGAGTCAGCTTCTTCTCGAGCGCCTCAGCGCGGCGGATGAAAGAGGTGAGGTCGGGCGGGGGGCAGCTTGGTTTGCGGATATGCCAGCCGTTTTCTTCTTTGAAACGGTTGAGCTCATGACAAAAGTCGTAGTAGAGCGAGAGGATGGCGGTCATGGGCGCGTCTCCAGGGATGGTACCACGGTGAGGGTCGTCGGGGCAAGGCACGACGCCGTTTCTCGGTGGCCGCTGGTCCTCCGGCAGGTTGATACAGATCATTAGCCGGGCCCATTCGAGGACTTGGTCGATGTCCCTGGTGGCAGTGTGGTTCGGGCTGAAGCCGAAGTCCCAACCGGCATAACCAAAATCACCGAGGTAGAAATCGGGGATGTCGCTGAGCTCTCCGTCACCGGAAGGAGGGAAGTGAACCCAGATGTTACCGGGGTGTAGGTCCTTGTGGAAGATTGGCTTCTTCTCGTAGACGGTGTAGAGGTGTTGAAGAGAGCTGAAGACCTGGTGGAGCATGCGTGCGATGAGTCTGGCCGGAAACCGCTTGTCTGGGTTGAACTTGGTGTGCTTGAAGGTCATGTACTTGGTTAGAATCAAGTCCTTGACTGAGCCGCCGTTTAGGAGCTGCCAGTAGGACACGAGGTGGAACTTCCCGTTCTTGGACGGGATCTTCTCGTAGCCGTAGAATTTCGGGATGAGAGGTCGGATATCAGGCGAGCGAGGCGGCTTACTCAGGTACTCTTCCATAAGGTGGAACTCATTGGGTTCGATGCATTTGCTTCGATCGAGACGGTTCCTGCTCACCTTGCGGATGAGAAGCTCACCTGTGCTGACTTTCTGGACGACTTGTGCTTGGGCTTCGGCGCCGTGGCCGGCCATTCTGCAGAAGACATAGTCAGATCCTCTGAACTTGAAGAGATACGCTCGGGTGTTGGAGTCGGACATGGTCGTTAGAAGGAGTAACTGACTTTCGGTGTGTGTTTTCGCTGTTGGTTAGTCTGCTGGGATCTATGTCTTCGAAAGACGAGATATCGAGATGTTTATAAAAGCTCGATTCCGGTTCCATGTAGTCCTGCAATTCACAAAACAAAGGTCGAACAGCCATGTTGCTTTGACACCCTGTCGACGGACAAGTTTAGTGCCCATCTTCAATGGAATTGTTCGCTGAACTCAAAGAGCACATAGGGCGGAATAACGCCACGACACCTCTTTTAGACGAAGTTTTCGGCGAACAATGTAACTTCTGGGTATCGTGCTTTGTTCTCGTCATACTTCCGTCTTTGGTCGTTAGCACAAGGGGGTTTTGTGCTCGGAATTCAGTCCCGGACCACCCGCTAAAGACATTCTCTCGGTGGTGAATATCAGAGCATGTCTGTTTGATGGACAGGGCCAGTAGTGACCTGCTCATGTATTAGTATGGAAGTTGAGTGTGCGAGTGAACCCCTGAAAGCTTCATATTGCCGAGTGATATCTTAAGCCTTGCTTCCCGTTCAAAGCAGCGATGGTCCCCTGAAAAATACTTGTTGCATCAATCGGTGAACAGTACAATTTTATAGACTACGTTACCAGTAGATCACGGCTGATCAGATTCTGTTACCAGGAGTCATTAGCAATTGCTCTAATTCGATGAGTGATAATTCTGGCGAAGAGGACTTTGCCATATTTCCATTTCCATGTTTTGGAGGAAGAGACACGGTCCGATATCGCAGCATGAAACGTGTGGCAGATGCCGGCTCCGCTTTTCCGTGGACAAGAGGATAGATAGGAAGGCCTTTGACAGAGTAAATCCATATCTTTGCTTTCATGTCGCCGAATAGTTTGCGATATCTTCATTTCGTCTCGTGACGATGATGGAATGGGAAGAAAACAATGGAGAAATATTTCGAGTGCCAAGAGACTGTTTGTTAAGAGTGTTAGTGCTCGAGGTGTCAAAGAGCTGCAAGTCCGACCCTGGACGTTCTTTCTGCATCCGCAATCAGCCAATGAGATGCTATGATTTGGTAGTGCAGACGACTTCCCGAGACACAGCATTTTATTGGTCACAGAGATGTCAGCCCGTGTGGATCTGCGTTTCTCTTCGAAGCAGCCTGAAGCCTGACAAGGCGCGGTTTCCCAAACCAAGAGTCAGCACTTGTCCGACTTCTCACCTTCTCACAAGTCTTCCTCCAGACTCTACCCACAAAACAACAAGCCGCCATCCGAAGCTTGAAGGGAGCTACCTGCTCCCGACAACTTGTCTCCTCTCTCCTGTCCTCCGTCACATTCTCGCTGCAGCTAAGCAGAGTGAAAATACGACGACCACGCTGTATCAACTATAGGAAACATGGGCGACTCCCGGGATTTTCATCCTTCGACTTCCCGTCCTGCGCCACGGGGTTTCCCTCTGGATTCCCTTTCTTCGATGAAGTGATCCCTATGAATCCAGTCCTATAAGCTTCGTGGATTTGGGGTTGGTTGCTCGCCGGCCGTCGTACCGATCCGAACAAAACTCAACTTTCTTCCACAAGTGGTCAACATCTGTTAGTCATCTCCCAACGATGAAATCACCAACAAAAGTAGCTCGAGGGCTCAGCGCAGATCCTCAACCTGCCCGCGTTACAAAGGCTCCCACGCCCAACCTCGTCCGAGAGGTGCTCGCGCGCGCCGACAACACCAACACTAACACGGTGAGCCCTGAGCTCTGCGGCTTCCTGGAGGGTACCTCGGCGTACAAGTGCCTGGCCGGGTACACGTGCAAGTTCAACACGGATCTGAACGTGGTCGGGTGCTGCGAGGGGGACGATTGTCTATGGCAGACATCATGTTGCGACTACAACCCCGGTCCTGAGACCGCAACTTGGAGCACCTTTACGTCAGAATGTGGCGGCCTTAACTTCGACCAAGTGGGATACTGGTGAGTTTAACTTGGCTGGTGAAGGTACCGGGCGGAGGAGTGTTAGGCCTCAAGAGGAATAGCGGCTGACAAGAGTCTACAGTGGTGAAGATACACCGTTTTGCGGAACGCGCCGCTTCGAGAATGGCATGACGAAGTACTACTGCACGGCGGATAAAGAGATCTTGACAGACTATGTCAACTTTACGTCGGCTGGAGAAACGACGGCCCAACTTGGACTCCCTCGATTAACAGGCAAAAACGGTCCTGCCCCGGCGACCATATCCTCCTTTTCCACAAGCGGATCACTCATTGGCGAGACAGTCACGGTGCGAGTGACGGAAACAGCATCAGCATCAGCATCGGCAGGCAGCGGTAGCAGCACCCCAAGTGCCGGCGTGATCGCGGGAAGCGTGGTTGGCGGCGCTGTATTCGGGGCCTTGATGACCCTTCTCGCCGTGCTCTTGACAGGGTACTTTAGGAAGCGAGGCCATCTCAAGGGCATGGAGCCGGTTCCTACCGCTCAACCCTCGGAGCTGCGGCCGCCATCAAATGGCAGAGCAGCCACTCCGGTCCCGGGCAGCATGCCAATCATGGCGCCGATGCCCTATCATCCATCACCCCTGAGCGCTCCCGGTTCACCACCACCCCCTAATGGACCGAAGGACAACAGCTATGTGCAGTATTACGATCCTGCCCTCAGCACTACGTCCTCGCCGCCGCCCCCGTCAGCGATATCCTATGCGCCGCAACCACTACTATATAACCCGTCGATTGCCTACGGACAACAGCCCTATGCGCAGCTGTCACATCCGCAACTGTCACAGCCGCTGATGGGCACTCATGAAGCGGATTCGTGCAACATGAGTCCCCATCCCAGATAATGAGCTTTCTGATCATGCCAGGTGACAGCGAAAGGATCAACTACAGGGGACCATATTTGTCTACTTCATACTTGGCAGGCTTACGATTGGATATAGACAGCCTCCTCCAACCTTTGTGCTGGTTGGGGCGGTATGATAAGACCGGCGTTTGACTTTATGTATTGGGATTTGGATACCCTTGTTGACTTCTATGTCTTGAATACCACATAACGAGGCAATTGAGCCCAGCGTATAGTTTCCCCTTGTTCGTCGTCTAACCATCCCATGGCCATGCTGTTTTGAGATGCTAATCCACCAACCACCACAACCCCCTCTGCCTGAAGGCATTTGTTTGTTTTTGAAAGACACTAACGGTGTCAAAATATGAACAAAGAAAGGATATGTGACAACCCAAGTCCCAGACCCAGTCCCAGACCCGGTTGAGACACAGCAGTTGCTCCAGGCCAGGCCAAGCAGGCAGGAAAACCTCGACTCCTCAATAGCCACCAGTGGCTCCATCCGATCCGATCATCATACGAGATTCGTTCTGACTGATTTAATCGCTGGGAGTGCAAACCGACTCGCCATCGGCGCTCACGCACTTCATTCCCGAGCAGCAGTCTGACGAAGCTCGGCACGTGGTGAGAATGGCGCGGCATGCCTGGTTCACGAAAGGCTTGGGTTAGCTCAAGCTCGTTATATCTTTTTGGGATCATCACAAAACAACATACCTGTGCCCCTGGGGTATAGCGGTAGTCCAAATTGGCCTCACGCCTGAAGAGGGACCGGGGCTGCGGCTTAGCACCGCTGGGACTGACACGGTGTCCGGGGAGTACCATGCCGGAGACTAGGCCGAGGAAGGAGACGAGGACGATGGAAGCCTTCATTTTTGCTGGTTTGATTTCAGGGCTTTGGAGATGACGCTAAGATGTTTCTGGATATGTGCCGGGAGAAAGAGCCGTTGGGGTGAAGATGTCGAACCAGCGACGAGGTGAAGCCAGGAAATCGAAAGTGAAGGCGAAAGTGAGGTTGAGATGAAAGCAGCACAATATCCGAAGCACAGCTTCACCTTTTTGACCAAACTCCTTCCCGTCTTTCTTTCTGCTTGCGAAAAAAAGGGAGTAAATGAAAGAATGCTAGATGCCAAAGCTAGGGCACTGCAAGCAAAACCGGGTTACAAGAAGAAAGCGAACACCGGGTTCGAAATAAACAAAAGAATGGAAGAGGAGAATCTGGAAACACGGGAGAGAGACCTGACGAGAAGGCTTCCTCTCGGAATAGTATACGGGAACCTGGGGGGGCTTGGCCCGCGGCCGTCTTTACTTATATTAAAGCCTCCCTTCCCCTTCCCGCGGCGGGCACAGAAAGACGAGTTTGGAACCGCGGAAGATCCCTCGTGCCAAGCCGTTCGATTGTATCGAAGACTTGTCCGCAGTACGTACTGTGGGGGCGAGGGCGAGCGGGCCGATGGTTCATGGTCAAACACGGGGACGGTACCTGAATTGTAACCTGGATGACCCCCCGAGAGGCGTGTGACGGTGTCAGGGGTAATGCTAACAGTTTATGCACGAAACCCCATGTGTTTCTGTTAGTGCTACCTGCCATATCACGAACCCCCGGAATGCAACTGCGGGGTGGAGGAGGCACACTGTTTCGAAAGGTCGCAGCGAACGCCGACAGCGCAAGATCACCGACTGGCATCGCCTGTCAATCAGTGTCATGTCTGTGCGGATTGGTTCATCCCATCTTGCTCGTCCGAGTCCTGAAACACGGTCCAATTATTTTGCGGTCAGTTTGAAACTGCGACGTTCAATTCTCCGCGCGTTCTCTATTCTATTCTACTTCTAGCGACTTCTGATCTACCACCTTCCCGACAAGTACAACGATATTAGAGGTCGAGGATGCCCAAAATGTGAAATCCGATCAGCAGCATCAGATATCATCACCATCTTCAACGCCCATCATCATCACCTCTTCACCTCTAGGTACTATAAGCAGCCACCCACTCAACCTCCAACCCAGCCTCAATCCCGCCCGCCGTCTTCCCATTCGGCGTCTTTCCCCCCTCCAAATTCGCAACATTATTCGGAAAATCCCCGCCCACCGCCACATTCAAAATCAAATACTTCGGCATCCTCGTAACCGCCGTCCAAGCCTTCTCATCCCCAATCTGCGCGCCCGTCAACACCACCATCGGCCTTCCATCCACCAAATACGTCAACTTCTCCCCTTTCCAGTCTCCCCCGGGGTTAGTCCTATCAATCTCGGCGCCGAAAACATGGAACGTCCTCCCATCCCTTAAACTTTCTAAAGGTGTGCTCGTGCTCAGCCCGGAAAACTCATTACACGGCCCCCCCGGAGCAACTCCGCAGTGCAGCGACTGCCACACCGCAGGCGACCCGTTGGTGCTCTCGGCTATGTCGATCTCGCCCGCGCCGGGCCACTGGTCGAACTTGCCGGAACGCCGGAACTCGGACCCCAAGGCCCAGAAGGACGGCCAGATGCCCATTTGCGAGGGGGAGGGGGCGGAGCCGAAGCGCAGGCTGGCGGACATGAGCAGCTTGCCGCCGGGGGGGCAGGCGATGTGGTCGGTTATGGTTTCGATGCGGGCTGAGGTCCAGTAGTCATCCACGGATGGGAGGGCAACGCTGACGCGGAGAGGGGTAATGAGTAAAGTCCCCGAAGAGGTGATGTTGATGTTGGAGGGTGACTTGGTGTAGGTTTGCACTTCGTTGGTGCCCCAGTTGCCTGGGCCGTTGGGGTAGGAGGTCCCCGTGGCGATGACCCACTTGGAGGGCAAGGGCTGGGACCCGGGGGGAGGAGGGAGAAGTCGTCTTGGAAGAGGATATGGGAGTAGCCGGGTGGTATGGTGATGCCGCTGCGGCGAGAGAGCTGGGGCTGGGTTGGGGCTGCGAGTACACCCCAGGTTGAGAAGAGCAGTGCAGCCGCGAAGACAGGAAACATCATGTTGGCTGTGCGGTTTGCGGGCGTTGCTAATGAGTGGATAAAGCTAATGTAGTCCAGTGACTGTCTTCAAGATGAAGGAGCTTGTCAAAGAGGGGAAGCTTGTCGGATGACTTCTGCCTTTCATTTTCTAGGCTATCGAAAGCACATTTATACACCTCTATGTATTGTAGGCATAAAACTATCCTAATCTCTCATCCAAGGGCGTTCTAACACCTGACGAATCGCTTCGTTACCATCAGATCCCGGGAATAGCCTTCAACCGCGCACATTAACTTCACACAGGGCTTACTCACTTTCAGGTACCGTACCACCACATCTGGATCGAAGGAGTAGTTCTACCTCCGTTCCCGGTAAACAGCTAGGAAATACCTTCGAATTAACCCTAACAATACCTAGGTCATTGACTTATATCTTGTCTTAGCCAATCTTACCCTTCCCAGTTTCCAGGCTCGTCCGCGGTATCGCGCCAACTTAGATATAGATTTAAGAGCCTCTACTCTAAATAGAAGGTCTAACTACAATTGCACAATGGGTCGATGGGTTTTGCGGAATCACTACTTTTTGGAAGAAAACTGCATTACTCAACGGTTGTTGTTTCAGTCATACGGCCTTTTTTTTTGACTACAAGCATTAAACCTTTCCAGGAAGAACTTGCACTGGTGAAAGTCTTTGCCGCAACATGAACGTCATTCAGAGACCTTTGAGATCTATCTACCTATCGACACTGTTCAATGTATTGATGATTGTTGATATCAGCCCAGTGCAAAAAGCGAGGCCCGAGCAACAGTCAGTCGCGTGCTGAGGTCGAACCGCAATGGTACGTAGAACAAGATTCATCAAGATATCCCAAAATGGTGATCTCAATTTCGGTGGTCTCCGAGTTGGTTTGGTATTTCTAAGATAAAATGCAAAAAGAGAAATCACTGCGCCAGCCGCGAAACGAACGCGGGGCCCATCGATGGCAACGATGGATTTTACCACTAAACCACTGGCGCTTTGAGGTGTTGATGAAATATTTTAAGCATAACAGGTGCTTATGAACAACATGAGATTATAGTAGATTCCTTCACCGACTCCGGTCATACCCATTGTCCGAGAGTGTTGGAACTTGACGCCGACGGGTATCATGGGTAAAGGCGGCAGTCTGGCAGCGAACAAAACGGTCAGTCTTGCTGAGGGCAACAAGAAATACTTGACCTCTCATGTGTACTCAACAAATTACCTTACATTTCAAGCACTGAAAACCCCCGACGTGGGATTTTCGTGTGTCCTTCGTTGGTGAACCCTTCTGGCTCGTGGTTTAGACACTGTTGGCTGTAGCCCACGACCACCGAGGTGGGTGTCCTTCACAGCTGTGGCTGAAACAAGGCGCAGTCAGGAACTTCGTCGAAGTCCAACCGGCGCCGTGGTTGACTCGGGTATACAGCATAACCAACATGGTTAAGCGTCACTGGTCTCATACAACATGCTGGCCTACCGGTGGCATGCGCCACACACATGCTTGTTTCATCTGCAACTGCCAGACATGAAGAATCACTGCAAGGCTTCAAGTTTAAAAGAAGAATTTTTCAGTCACTCTATCATCTATGGACCAACAAAGAGGACCGTAACCTGTGTATAGTACATGAAGTGGAACCCAACACCGACCGACCATCGTTTTCCATGCACGCCAGAAGCCAAGTCCCACGTCCCCTCAACCATGATAAACCTAGTAATACTCCCGCTTGCCATACCGGAAACAACGATATCAAGAAAGAAAAAAAAGAGAAAATGCAACCCCCGTCGTGATCTTCGTAGTACAACAACGCTCCTCCTCTTCAATATCAATGTCAGAGGTTTCCCTTAACGAGACGCCTTCTCCGTTGTATCAGACGTAGCATCCTCGTTGTCCTTAGCCGCGAGCACTGGCTTCTGATCCTCAATGCTGAGACCCTCCATCGCCTTGCTGGCTCCAGAGAACGGACACGTACTGCCAGATGTGGGTGACGATGCCGACGCCGCCGCCCAGTCCTTGCTTTCGACAACAGAAGAGAAAGGACACGCCGAGCCGCCATTAGCAGCAGCCGAAGAAGAAGAAGAAGAAGCTTCAGCAGTCTCATCCAGCACTTTCTTGCCATGCAAGAACCCTTCCTTCTCAACGACGCCAAAGTCCATTCCGTCCGTGAACTCCTCACCATCGTGTACATACCACCTGGTGAACAAGTCGTTCTGGATCCAAATGACTTTGCCCAGGGCCTTGAGCAAGGCAATCTTGCGGGGCATCGGCAGGCGTGGGTGCGACAAGATGGCCTCGTTGAGAATGTCCTGGATGACGCCCAGGGTGACGCCGATGTGGATGTACTCGATGTGCAAAGGGTGCGAGCGGCCCAGCCCTGTGTGCATCATGCCGACCTTGTCCAGGTACTCCCAGAACTCCATCTGCGACGGGTCCGAGCATAGCTTCTTAAGGTATGCGCGCAGGAACATCTTGCGGTGGAGGATCTGGGGGCTTTCCTCGTCGGGGACTTCGTCCATGGGACCCTCGAAGGCGGTGCTGCGGGTCTGGAAGGCGCGCGCCGTGATGTCGTATGAGAGGAGCTTCTTGTAGACGATGTTGACGACGGCGGGGATCAGGGCTTGGATGTACTTGGCGCCGGAGGAGAGGGCTTCGATGTCATCTGTATTTTGAGAGAGAATGTTAGAAAGGCACATCCATGGCTCTCTCCCTCTTGAGTGCACTTACCGGTACCGAAATCAAGGAAAGAATGGAGATAGCGGATGCGCGCCTCGAGACTGGTGTAGAGCTCCTTGCGGTCGATGTGCTGCATCGGGGCTCTGGTTCTAGCAGAGCTTGAGCTTGCTGACGGCGCCATTGTGACTGGCTGTTGTTTCTACAAGCCAAGAAGATATATCGATGTGTTTCCTGGAATATTTCAAAGAAGTGGAAGAATAAGAAAGAAACACGTCTGGCGAAGTATTGATGTTCCGAGACTACAGTCAGTCAGTGCTGAGCTGCTGGTGAAACTCGTGGTGGGGGCGGGGCGGGTATAAGTGTTAGCGGGGAACCTTGATGTCCACGAGGAACTCAGATAAACAAGTCAACCATAAATCAAATAATGGGTATATAAACTCCAGATTATTGGAGAGGAGAATGCGATCTGTGAACCATCAGAAGCTAGAAGGACAAATGGTGTTTTTGAAGGTCGAAATGCCATGGTGATGCGAGCGCCAAAGGTACCTGCTTCTCGTGGGACAGCACAATGCGCCTTCCCGAGTGGTTCGATTGTCACGCCATGTTCGAGGTTCCCGGCCCCATCAACGAACATCACCCCATCTTGTGTTTCTCGTCCCGTAGGAAACTGCCTACAAAACACTGCACGGTCAAAAGGATTATTACAGTCGGAACCCGTGACGGAAGACGTTTGTTTCTTCGGGCCGCGCCTGGACTCAAAAAACTCGCGATATTGCGGTTTCTTGAACCGGCATCTCCCTCGCTGCTCGTAAAGCGCTGCTTCCGACTTTGTCCGACACCTCCAACTTTGTCTTTCGCAACTCGCCGCCCGGATGTTTTCAAACTCGAAAATAGTCGGGGAATGTCATGTCCTCGCAACCGCCTCCCGATAGTTGTTCGGTATCGTTCATTCCGCCTCCGCAAAGTCTCCCAAGATGCTGCCATTCTTCAGAATGTCGTCCATCAAGCTGCCCTTGAGGCTGCAGGTCAGCGTCCCTTCCCGCTACAGCATATTGACATGTCCTGACTAGATTGCCGCAAGAAGATCAGACATGCCAGAAATAGATTTAAACTCCTGTCAGCACTCAAAGAGATCTGCGAATACTCCAGAGATACGATCACGGTCCGGATCCCGGGGCTCGCTGCTACCTTGAACGCAGTACGGACTAATTAGGGTAAAATGCCACCAATGACAAGTCAACACCGCCGAATGCTATACCGAGGATCGACGACCGAAGTCGCAGGAGCCTCCTATTCAGGCTGATCGACGAACGACCTAGACTCGAACTTTCATATAATCCCCTCCTGGAGCTCCCGGTAAAGCAGCTCCAGAGCAGCGGGGTCCTTCGATGCAACATCGATATATGATGGGGACCGAGGTGGAGGAAAAGCGACCACGATGCCTCCGCCGCATATATCAGTGCGGATGATCTCCGCTAGATCATCGAGATGTCCGTTTAGACCAGATCAGTCTTGGCACAGGAGTTGAGATCCGATCAGAGACCGGAACAGCAAGTCACTTCAGCAAGATGCGGGTTTCCTGGGGACTTTTGGCCTTCCCGGCCGCGGTTTCGGCGATCGAGAACGGTATCAACAGCTGGCTACGATATGCCCCCCTTCCCAACGATCAGCGCCCTTCGAACCTTCGATTACCGGGTGCTATCATGGCTTTGAGCTCCAACAAGACTAGCCCCATTTACACCGCTGGACAGGAGCTACAAGCCGGCATCAAGAGCATCCTCAACCAGACTCTTCCCCTCTACCACGAACCCGACGAGTATATAGGGTCAACCATCTTGGTCGCTACAACCGGAGATTTCAACGGCAGACAGAAAGGGGATGTCGAAGCTGCCGCAACTCTGGCTGATGATGGCTATCTTCTTCGCATAAGAGCAGGAAATGTGGTCATCCTTGGTCAGACCGAGCGAGGTGCCTTGTACGGAGCCTTCGACTATCTCTCGAGAATTGCTCAAGGAAGGTTCTCTGATGCCGACTTGGTGTCGAACCCAGACGCCCCAATTAGATGGGTGAATCAGTGGGATAACATGGACGGCAGTATTGAGCGCGGTTTTGCGGGCCCTTCCATCTTCTTCAGCAACAACGCGATTCCCAAAAACCTCAACAGGGTCTCTCAATATGCTCGGCTACTCGCTTCCATAGGCATCAATGGCATCATTGTCAACAACGTCAACGCCAATGCGAACTTACTCACCAATGCCAATATCGATGGGCTGGGCCGTATAGCAGACGCGATGCGCCCGTACGGTGTACAGGTTGGCATATCACTAAACTTTGCGTCACCCCAGACACTGGGAGGGCTGGCAACATTCGATCCCCTCGATCAATCGGTGATCTCCTGGTGGACCGACAAGACGAATCGCCTCTACAAGCGCATTCCCGACATGGCAGGCTATCTGGTCAAGGCGAATTCGGAAGGGCAACCAGGACCATTGACCTACAACCGCACGCTGGCAGACGGTGCAAACTTGTTCGCTAAAGCTGTGCAACCACATGGCGGCATTGTTATGTTCCGGGCCTTTGTCTATGACAACCACATCAACCCAGCCGACCTCAAAGCCGATCGCGGAAAACATGCTGTTGAGTTCTTCAAGGGGCTTGACGGACAGTTCTTGGACAACGTTGTCGTGCAGATAAAGTATGGGCCCATCGACTTTCAGGTTCGGGAGCCAGCATCGCCTTTGTTCGCCAACATACCCCAGACAAACACCGCGATAGAACTTCAGATCACTCAGGAATACTTGGGCCAGCAGAGCCATCTTGTTTATGTTGCACCGCTGTGGAAGACTATCCTGGATTTCGACCTTCGTGCTGATGACCAACCGTCACGTGTCCGTGATGTTGTTGCCGGCCGTCGGTTTAGCAACAAGCGTGGTGGCTATGCTGGTGTCGTCAATGTTGGAACCAACACCACATGGCTAGGGAGTCATTTGGCCATGTCGAACTTGTATGCCTACGGCCGTCTGGCTTGGGATCCCACCCAAGACCCGCAAGCTCTACTTGAAGACTGGACTCGACTCACGTTCGGCTCAGACCCTCTTGTGCTTGGGGTCATAACGGAGATATCCATGGCGTCATGGCCAGCCTACGAAAACTACACAGGCAACCTCGGTATCCAGACATTGACCGATATCTTGTACACCCACTACGGCCCAAACCCTGCGTCGCAGGACAACAACGGCTGGGGACAATGGACACGTGCAGACCATTACGGGATCGGCATGGACAGAACGGTTTCCACAGGCACCGGGTTCTCCGGTCAATATCCCGCCGAAGTAGCCGAGAAGTTCGAGAGCATCGAGACCACTCCGGAAGAACTCATCCTCTGGTTCCACCACGTCAACTACACGCACGTCCTCAAGTCCGGCAAGTCAGTGATCCAGCACTTTTACGATGCTCACTACGCCGGTGCCGAAACAGCACAGACATTCCCTATTGCATGGGAGTCACTTCGGAAGAAGATTGACACCGAGCGCTTCAATGACGTTCTCTTCCGCCTCCGCTACCAAGCTGGTCACTCCATTGTCTGGCGCGATTCCATTTGTCAATTCTACTATAACCTCTCCGGCATCCCGGACGGAGCCGGTCGCGTGGGGAGGCATGAATACAGGATTGAGGCAGAGACCATGACGTTGAAGAACTACAAGCTTACCGGCGTCAACCCAGTTGAGACGGCTTCGAATTTGACTGCTGTGGTTCTTGTTTCCAACAACACTTCGGGAGAAGCTACCATGAAACTTAACTTTGACTCGGGCAAGTATGATATTGCTATCAACTACTTTGACTTGATAGGTGGTAAGGCGCGCTACAAGGCGTTCCTCAATGGGAAGTTGTTGCTCGAGTGGGCTGGGGATCTGGAGGATAAGCTGGGCCATACTTTCTCTACAAAGCTTGATGGACACTCAGCTACGAGGGTTACGATTCGTGATGTCCAGATCCAGAAGGGGAATGTGTTGAAGATTACGGGACTGGCTGACGGGAACGAGTTGGCACCGTTGGATTATGTTGCTATCTTGCCGCAAGGTGTTGTTGACTAGTGGCAGTACGAAGAAGAGGTGTGCGGAGCGAGGAGAATTTGGTGAACAAAGAGCGAGGCAAAGGACGTATAACTTGACACGGACAAATACCGAGATACTTCACAATCCATACTCCGCTCACGCTTACCCAATCGTCCATCTACCCCAGTGTTCACCTGTTGTTCCCTCCTCCGTCTAATGTCCGTGTCCAAGTAAGTAGTCCCTCAAACCTCCCTCCCCAAAAACTCATGAACCACCCTCAACGTCTCCCCCGCCGAATAACTCAGCGTCAAATCATGTCCCGTCTCCTCGGGCGCCCAAATTTCATACCTCCTCGCCCTCGGGAAAGTCTTCCCTGTCTCCCTCAACCTCCTCACACAACTCTCCTCCGGCGGGCTACACATAACCCAATCCCTCTGTCCCGTCGCCACCAACACCGCACCCCTAAACTCCTCCGCACCACGTCCCCAATCCCCCGAACTCACCAACTCCCCCAGCGTGCTCGCATCCGAGTATTCATAATCCGTCCTCGCCAGCTCTGGATCGTATGTTCTACCGGCAGCATCGGTGGCGTTGTCGTAGAACCCTTTCTCCCGGCCTTCCAAAGTGGCGACGGTTAGGTACTCTAGGTTGTGGTGGTAAAGAGTAGATGAGAACCGGTCAGGGAAGACGAGGGGCGCGGATACCCAGGGAGCGGATCGCACGTGCAAGGTGTTTTGACGGGAGCTGTAGCCTGTGAGGACTAGGGCGGACGCGTCGAGGGGGTAGGAACGGGCGAGGGCGATGGAGAGGTAGGAGCCTAGGGAGTGCCCGACGAGGACGATTTTGGGGAAGGTTTTACCCAGTGGGTTGGTCTTTGAAGAGGTAGTGTTGGTTTTGACCATGGAAATAAGCTGATGCAAAAGCTCCGTCTGCAACGGCATCTGGACGTTATTCAACGGATCAAGACCGCGCGGGTCATTCTCCCCGTGCGAAAGCCGGTCGAGGGCAAGGGTGTGGTAACCTTGCGAAGGGCTGGTCGCGTAGGACTGCCAGTCATAGGGATACCCAAAACCGTAGCCGGACCACATGGTTTTGTTGTAGGTGGCGCCGTGGAGGAGGATTTGGAGGACATCTTTATTCTCATTTTTATTTTCGTTTTCGTGGGAGCAGCGCTGGCAATAAATCAAATCAAATCAAATACGACCTCATATTTATTTGAGTGGGTCAAATATGAGGTCGTATTTGATTTGATTTGTATTTATTTGTATTTATTTGACGATTTGCCAAAACAAGTAGGCCTACGGCCAACCCTAACCCTGACTTCGATCCGTCTTCCGAAGTCCGGTACGTAGCCAAAATGGACACTTTTTATCACTAAAAAAGTTCTGTTAGGGGTGCCAAGAAGGCGGACAAATACGCAAATAAATATGAGGTCGTATTTGATTTGACCCACTCAAATATGAATCTGTATTTATTTGTATTTATTTGTATTTGCCAAGTATTTGATTTGTTGCCAGCGCTGCGTGGGAGGAAGGGGTAGGCTGGCAGTAGATGGCGTTGAGGGTGAAGGTGCCGGAGACGGTTTGGGTGCCGTTGGTTACTAGAGTGCCGTCCCAGGCTTGGCTGAGGATGCTGAGGATTTCAGTTTCGTTGGTGGGGTCGGGAGGGGAGGCGAGGGAGATGTGCTCGGCGGTGGCGGTGAGGGTGAAGGAAAGGGGGGTGCAGAGTGGGTTGTGGGAGTTGTGAGAGGGCGTATGGGCGGAAATGCTGTGGCCGAGTGTTGGGTGTATGAAGATGGGGAGGAGACTCCCTAGGAGGGAGAGGGAGAGGGTTGGAGGGAGGTTGGCGAGCATCTTTGTGGGAATGACGATGAGGAGAGAGGAGGTTGAGGGTTGGATGGAAGTTCTAGAAGAGAAACGGATGGCTGTTGTAACGTCTTGGAGTGAAGCTCACAACTTCATCAACAGCTTCTTGATCAGGTATTTCTACCTATCTCAACCTCATCCATATACAGGTACTATCGTATCAAGTTATCGGCCGACTGATGTCGTGATATGGTATCTGGGCCTTCAAGGCAGCCACATGGGCTGAGTTTGTAAGCACGATTTGAAATCGAACAAGTGCATGTCTAAGAAAGGCTACTATTTCGGCAGACACACAAGTTGATGTTTACAATGAGTCCGAACAGACAAGTCGGATTGAAGAATCATGAGGTCCGAGGTGGCCTCGAAGCAATCATCATCGTATACATTCAACCCTTCGACTCCGGGAAGGAGACATTTGTCAGCTATGCTCACTGGTAAGCGAATTATCAAATACTATCTGGCTATGGTGCCATAACTATCTGATACTATGGCTCAGGATGCATCGTCGTTGAGGTCAAGAACGGAGAGTCCGAACTCTAAATCACAGACTGTGTTAAGCTGCATATAAGCTGAAGCTTTTGGCGGATAATTCAACGAAGCCCGATTAGCTCAGCTGGTTAGAGCGTCGTACTAATATCAGTCTTCTGATATCAAGTCAATGCGAAGGTCAACAGTTCAATCCTGTTATTGGGCATCTCTTTTTTCTCTTTTAGCTTTTATCACTTTCAGATTCAGATTTCTCAAGTTCTTCTTTCCTTCATTTCTTTTTTTCTTTTTTGCCTCCTGGTTGCCGAGGCTTTTTGTGGCAGTTGGGGTCGCTATGACTAGGTGTTAGATAAATGACCGTAGTTATGATGCATGCCGGCATTTTGCAAGATGTGCCCAAGTTCTACCACAACACTCGTGCAATATGTAAGCGCGTTGACGAATCGATCAATGTTTAATATGCTTACAAATTCAAACATCACGTATGAATGTCACAGCAAAGGTATGTGGGTGACTACCTTGTTTACTTCATTTGTATTAGTGCTTGACAGTGGACTTTGCTTCTAGCTACATTTGTTCCCGATACACTCAACTCTGCAACTGGATCATATCCCGTGTGAGGTCAAACCTGAATTATATCGAGGATTCCCCCAAGCCTGAAACACGCAGAACACTCCATGTCCTGTCAGGGGCATGTGGTAATCGACACCCCGTCTAAGCTGTCCTACAGATACCCAGGTGGGGCAAGCTAGGGGCTTATTTGTTGTCGTGGGCGGAGATACCCCTCAGTTGGCGCGGAAACGGACAGGGGCAGGTTTGGCTCGAGTGGCTGATGTCCTTACTGGATGCTGTAAATTGGTAGAGGAATCGACAGAAGTGGCTTCAGCACGCTGACACACGCGGGGTGGGCGATGCTGGGAGCTCCTCAACGAGTCCGGGTTGCTCCAGTTCGACTCTCAGAACGTGGTCTGAAGCTTGGGATAGTCATCAGCGTGGACCTGAAGGTCCGCAAAGATCCGACCAGAGTCATCATCGCTTAGACCCTTAAGCCTTTGTAAATCCTCCTCCTCAAGCTTCTCCAACTCCTCAGCAGGTGTTTCCTTGTTTTCTTTCTCATCGGCCTTCTGCGGCTCAAGAGCCTTTTCGACACCGGACGACTCGCCAACGAGAAGGAACTGAGTATTGACATAGTCGAGGTGCTTGGGCTGTGTGGACATCCATCGGAGAGATCGGAACTCTTTGAGCACCCTGTTGAATAAAATCATTAGTATTTGCTTTGCTGGTCACAGGTCAATGATATGGCATGGGGAACTCACTCCTCAGGATACTCTGGACCCTTTGGTAAACGTGCATTGGCTGGGGCAGGATACTCTGGGTTTCTGGTACTGATGATGAAGCTACCCTTCTGTTTCAACCCAAGCTCCTTCTGGACCTCCCCGAGCTCCTCAGGTAAAGTGAGAATGTAAGCAAGGTGGCTATCGGACCCAGTGCTGGTGATGGCATACACGCCCTCGGCCACAGGTGTTGCGGCGGGACTGTGTCTGGTACCTGCTGTCTTGGTCTCATAGTCATTGGACGCCAAAAACTCATCCTTAAGCTGCTGAAACGAAGCGCCAGTCTTCTCAACGAACGAGATCCATCTGTCCTTGCCAGACTGGGGGAGCACCTTCTTCGGGATGGCGCACAAGCGGCTGTTGCCAGCATCACCAATGGGACCGCTTCCAAGCTTGGCGTCCTTCTCAATAGGGCGGAGGATAATATAGCTCCGCGCAATCTCATTCACGGCAGAAGGCTCATCAATGCCGACGCGGCCACGGAAGAAGAAGTAGATGATACCCTTCTCGAGAATACTGGACGGCACAGCTTCGGGGGCCTCTCGACCGTGTGGCTCAACAGCACTCTTCTTGTCTTCTTGGTCATCCTTCTCCTCTCTCTGACCCTCGGCCTTCTCGGCTTCGGCACCAGCACCCTTGGTCTCCTCGGTTTCTTTCTTCGTCGACTGGTCATCCGCGACCTCCGTTTTGGTCCGCTTGGCCTTGGGCGATTCGCTGGCGCCTTCCGTATCAGGATCGGCCTTGTGCTTGGAGCCGGGCTCAGCCTCTGAGGCAGGAGGTGCCGCATCGGGAGCCTTCTCCTCCTTCTTGGAAGCCTCTCTGGTAGTGGGCGCCATGTTGATAGGTTCGTCAGAAAGTGACAAGTGGATGAGGGTAACAAGATGGTGCAGCGCTCCGGTGAAGGTTGAAGGAAGGAGATAAGAATTACACGAAGAGAGAAGAGAGAGAGGGAGAGACCTGCAAGAGGTAAGAGCTGAGTACCACACTACACTTGACGTGCAGAGTTCTGCAAACGGCTCCTTCTCTTTGATCAATTGAACCGTCACTGACCTCTGCAAAGTAAACAGAAGAATGATGTCACGATGGCTGCTTGCACGGTGTCAATAAGCAGTAGGGCTGTTTTAGTTGTAGGAGCTGAAATGTGATTGGTCCATGCTGTCAACTTGGGGACCTTGACGGACAGGGGAACGTGCGTAGTGTAAGGCCTGACCTATGTACTTCCCCGTCCGCCGCGCGAATGTCTTTCAATTCGTTCCTCCCGCAATTGGAGCGACCAAACCTTCTCCCGTCTACCTCTACACGTCCAATGCAACCGAATTGAAATCTTTCCCCGTCCGAGCCCTGCCCATGAATGCTATTAAGTAGTACTTATGCTTCCACTCATTCCCTTCTGTTGTGCGAGTCTCGACTCCGCGCTAATCAAACCTCGTTTTCCAGTGTCACCTTCGCTTCCAGATCTCGATAGACGTCTCGTGGAACACCCAGGTCATCCACCATCTCTCGAAACTCCCGACCGCATCTCTGCCCCTGCGTCTCCGAAACGGTCTCTCGCCGAGCTCCAACTGACCGTGACCGCGCGTGTCGCTGTTCAATCAACCGATCCAACACCATGAGGTACCTACCGTCTGACCTCAACACCGCCACCTCAGTCAAGGCCTTGCAGATGGACAGCCAGCCCAGGATGTAATTGATGTTGGTCGTTCCTTCCATCATGCGGAACTCCATGGTCCGAGGGTTGTTCCGCGCCCGTTCATCCTCCAACCCGAAGGCGCTAAAGTTGAAACCGAGTCGTCGATACTGCTTCTTTTCTCCCGACAACAACCGTCCCAGCTCCATATGCGATCCTGCTTTCCACAGCTCCTCGATAGCCTTTCGGTCCTTGGTCTGCATTTCCGGATGGGTTTCGAGCACTTCCGCCACCTGCCAATCTTCGACCAACACACCGTCTTGGCAAGTCGTCGACCCATGTTCTCGGAGTGCAAGTTCTTGAGCCCTCAAAGCCAGGCGACTGTACTTTCGTGTCTCGAACCCCCACGTATACACATTGTGATAGTTGGGCGACCTTGGATTTCTGATACTTCGGATCTGCTCTTCGCCCATCCACAACAGCGTTCCTAGTCTTTTCAAGGTGGTCAGACTGAAAGGCTGTCCGTCTGTTCGTCCGATGTGGATGTGCACTTCGCATGTGTAGTTTGCGACCAGACGGTGGTTCGCAAAGAGCGAGCGCAATACTGCCTCGATCCGATGCTTGGTCTCGGCATCCTTGGCTGGCAGTGATGGCGAGCTTACTTCGACAGACAGCCACACATAGCCCTCCAGATTGGCTTGCTCTGGTGTGGGTTCGGCCGAGTTGGCTTTCTTGACGATCCAGTGCGACTTCCAGAATGCCCGCTCATGGCTTGCATCTTTTGTGATTCGAGAGATGGTTGTCGACTTCTCTCCCGCTTGGCTTATCGATTTGGCGATGCATTCATAAATCTGTTCCCGCCGAGTGGCTTCGCTGTCTCTCAGCCGTGTCATGTTGACCTTTCTGTGGTCTTCGGGTTCCGGATCTCGTTCACCCTGGACAAGGAGAGGGAGCAAGAACTTTAGTTCCACGCCGAACGATAGGTCATGGACCGTATCAAGCGGTGCAGTCGCCTCCATCAACGAGTGTTTGATGCCATGCTTCGGTGATTCAATGGCAAGCCTGTGTGGATCCATGTGGTCGCTGGAATTGGGTATTGCAATCACAATCCTCCTATCTACCACCCAGTACCCGGAGCTAGACAGCATGTACGGCTCCTGTATATACGGAGCCATGTTGGCGGTTCAGGGAACGTAAGGAGGTTTAAATATTAGAGGCCGGGAAGGAGGAAGGTCGAGCTCCCTAGTCAAGGCTCTTATTGATGGTGGTCGATTCGTTTGCCGAACGCTGTGAGGGCACCAACCAACTTATCTTCCTCGCGGACCTAGCAGTCCAATCTTAGAGGAAGTTCAAGTAGTCCGGTGTTGCGTCGTCCCTTAGGCAAGTGTCATGGGCTTGGTGCACTGCGCTTCTTGGCTGAACGGCCGGGTCTCACGTTTATGTTGATCCGGAAGATACCCCGACTCTAGATTCGGATGCGTTAGCCGTGACCTTGGCAAACAAAGTTACAGTGCCAAATCGGGAGGCTCTGTTACCTCTGGACCGCCTGTCAACCCCTAACTGGAATGGCTTTGGACCAAAACGGTAACTACGACAGGTCTCCGTCGATGAATTGGGCGCGGTACCTCGTAACCGTTAGCAAAGGGTCCCAAACTGTGCGAAGGATACGACCCCAGACACCGTACGGACTGTGCATACTTATCAACGTTTGGATCTGACCCAAAAAAAAAGCCGGTTACAGAGTCACATCAACTCATATGCTGAAATTCGCTGACGCAGACAGTAGCATATCCGGTCCGGGAGAGAGCTATGAGGAAACCCTGGGCGGTCTGGGAAGAAGGGATATCGAAGCTAAATGACATCGGCGGGAAATTCAGGTGACGCCTGGAGTCTCCGCCCAGCCATTATTATATCTGTCAGCGCCTTAATCCACGAGACCACCCTATACCGATACCAGAGAGCCCTTGCCAGCGCCTGCTGAGTTGACACCTTAACAACAGGACAACAAACTGCACCAACGACTGCATATCAGCCCTGACCCATACCGCCAGCCATTATCCATCTCACTTGGGGGTCCAACGCCGCTCCTAAACTCTATCAAGATTCGTCGTTGGCTCGGTAGGTGCCAGATTGGCACACCTGGGCAAGGTGCTAGGTCGCAATACTGGGCTTAGCAAATGAAGCGTTCCCCCCTTTAGGGGAAGGTCAAATCAGCACCACCATGCATACCACCCCATACATACCACCCCCGCCCGCATAGCTGCTACATCACTAGATTCCACAGTCGGTCTCCAATCACATCCCTGATCTTATCACGCTTGGTGATCATCCCACACTGAGGCCAGAGCACTGCCGGCGGTTCGGCTTCAACTTCTCTTCGATCGCATCATGCCTCACGATGCCGAGTTTATCTTGAAGGGATTCTGGCCCTTCGACACTTTCTTTTTTCACCATTCCTCCACAAACTACGCGCGGGGGTCCCATGGGATTACTCACTGCAGGTATCACCCTGAGTCCCAGTATGACTACCTCGGGACAATCTCGCCTATCATTTTTCCGCTCGTCGACATTTGACAGGCAGCCATACGTCGTCAGCATAAGGTTTTGATATCTGAGACTTGGACTGAAGCGGCGCAGATGGCGGTCAGCGTCTTACACACACACAATCCCTCCTGACCTCAGCCTTGCCATTCATTGCATCTTTCATCTTCCTGGGAGTTGTTTGATCTTCCTTGTTTGATCTTCTGTGGCCCGTCAATGCGTGTGCTCGCATGGGGATTACCACCCTCTCGGATCCGGCTCCCGACTATAAGAGAGGACGTGTTGGGGAAACCATGACCCAATTGGCAAAAATATCATACGCCACGCAGGTGTCGCCGGTCATCACAACCAACTACTGCCGGATGACATACATGACAGATCTACAAAGGCACTGTAGTAGTACCGAAGCTGATCATCAGGGTACTGAATCAAGCAATCGATTTGCGACACACAAGATCTCGTCAGACATGATCTCAGCTAATCTACCTGTATCCCGTCTTCATATTCTACCTGGACTGGTCGACTCAAGGCCATTCGAAGCAGCACAACATGCCAGGCCACTGAAGCAGGATATCAAGTCAGGGCATATTAAATTGGGCCCAACCGGTACTCGTAAGTAGACAAGCCACCTTTCCCACATGAACCCCAAAAAAGAATCATCACTCGACCCTCAATTGTTTTGTTATTGGCTTGAAGTGTGCTCTCTATTTCATGTACATCGACCTAACCAAAGATGCAACCACATATTCGGGCTTCGTCGAGATACGGTTGACTTGCACTCCGTAAAACTCCGGGTCCAGACCGCAGGCAGACATAGAGAATTCTGTTCCCGTTTCGATCCTTGCAGAAACTACACGCCTTCCTCTCCGATCCTGTTATGAGAGAATATCGGAATGATCAGATATAGGATCTAGACGACCTACCTGGTTACTTGGTACCCAAACAGCATGCCAGTCTGGTATTGTGTAACAGACCACAAGCCGCTGTCACATGTCCTCAAGTTACACAACATGAGAATCTTCTACCTTTGGGCTGAGGAGGCATATTGACGTTTCACAGAAGACTTCTATCCATTCTGCTTGGGCATCTACAGTCGAGATGCGTACGCACAATGTATCCTGCGAGCTCCTGCAAAGGGTTGACACGCTGCAGCACCGCAGCATTGCACGCAGGCATGACCCAGCTCGTCCGCCTGTATGAGACGTAGGCGGCTAGAGCGTCGGTGGTGGAAAAAAGAGTTCGTTGGGCGAAGTAAGAGGACATGACTTGGGTCAACAAGGTGTTGCTACTCTTTCGTCATCTCACGGTTCGACATCGGAGTGTTGGCTTGGATCTGTGATGACGATGTCAGAATTTGCGAAGAGGAGAGACAAAACAAACAAGCACCGAACCAGTGGCATGAAGTCATTCGCAATATGATGGGATAAGGGCCGGTTAGACTCGGTTAATACCTGCCGAACGCTTAGAGGCGATGTCTCTTATTGTCGGGTAGCATCTTTCCGTCCATTCACATACTTTCGCTCACCAAATCATTTGTCATCACTTCATTGACTCGACAGGAGTTGGAGCTGTTTTTGAAACAAGTAAGAGATGGAAAAGCCGGATTTGGTCTGCTTGGCTTACGGTCAACACCCAGCTGATGCCAACTTCCAGGCAAGAAGCTCAGATTCGGACACTGACCGACTTTAACCATTCTGCGTTATGAACCTTTTCCTACAACACTTGACATGTCATATTTCTCGGAACTCCCTTCGTACCCTTCGCCTAAGCAAGCGGTAGGCCGGGGGGAGCAACTTATCCGGACGGACCGATTTGCAATGTTGAGTGGTTTGTTGTAACTGGTATGATATGCTGCAATATGAAACTCGAGGTCTAATTATTA